TCACCTTTCCAGATAAGTAGAGAGACTCATGAAAGGCTGTTCCATGCTAGCTTGAGTGAGGGGGCCTTTGATAGGTTTTTTGCAGGGCAGCAATGTTATCAACTGTGTGCTTTGGAGCCATGCTTGTTTTAGTGTGTCAGAGGCAGTGGGTATGTGCCCAGAGATAGCTTGATAGTGCTTAATGTGGGGCAAGTGGTCCTTGAAGCTGGGAAGTGGCAGAGGGAATGGGATTTAGATATGCTGGATGACATGTGACTTTCCTGGGAGATGGAATAAACATCTATTCACCCTAGATAGGGCTCTAAGGGTAGGCCAAAGAAATGATTCCACCCCAGACTAGCTTTGTGACCTAATTAGTTTATTGAGTTTAATTACAGGACTGTGGGTGGCTCAAAGGCAGCTGCAGAGAGGCCCACACATCATCAAGGACGCATGAAAGCTGTAACCCTGGAATTGGGCGCTCCAGCAGTCTCCTTCCCCAGCCATTGTTTACCACTTCAGAAACCTCTAGAAAGCTGAGCCTTAGAAGTTTCCTTAGCTTTCTGAGTCTTGGGAGGTTCGGTTCTTCCTCCAGGAAGGAATGTTTCAGTTGGAAGGGAATAGACATACAAGATGATTTCTTAGAAGGGGAATCTGAGGCCAGGCATGGTGGCACACGCCTTTAATCCCAGCACTTGGGAGGCAGAGGCACGTGGATCTCTGTGAGTTCAAGGCCAGCCTGGTCTACATAGTGAGCTCCAGGACAGCTGGGGCTACAGAGAGACCCTATCTCAAAAAGACCAAAAAAAGAAAAAAAAGCATTTCTGTATTCCAGTGTAATTTTAGAGTATGTTTTAAACATACCCTTCTGTAGATAAAGATTACATTTAACGAGTAATATTCCAACCTGTTGAAAGGAAGAGATTCTTTACCACAGTCCACTGTTACGTTGTCTAACCCATTTACAAATATTATGAAGTGCCTGTTTTGAGCAAGTGCTACGAGAAATCTTTAGACAGTTGGTGAAGAACTATACTGTTAGAGTGTTTCTTTCTGAGTTCCTAAATCAGTATTTTTAACTTAAAAAAAAAAAAGACCACTAGTCAGGCATGGTGGCATACATCTGTAATCTTCCTGCCTCAGCCTCTTGAGTGCTGGGATTACAGGTACGAGCTGCCCTGGCCCATTTCCACTGTTGTTTACTCTGCATGAAGACCCACCATTTCAGTAGCAGGCACATGTTTTCCATCTACTGTTGATGTGTGTCACTGAGCTGTTGGAAATAGTTAATTTTCATTTGATAGATCCTAGAATGTCTTTCTCTTGAGTGGAAAAGTGGTGTTGCCAACACCCTCAGTGGGAATGAGGCTTCCATGTGGCCTGGTGACTCAGAGCCATCCCTTAGTCCACCATCAGGCAGTATGCCCAGGACCACTTTACTTTGGGGGGGCCATTGAAAATATTTTAATTTCTTTTAACATCAGAAGAATAGGGGCTGGAGAGATGGCTCAATGGTTAAGAGCCCTGGCTGCTTTTGCAGAGGACCTTGGGTTTGGTTTCAAGAACCCACATAGTGGCTAACAATCATCCGTAACTACAGTTCCAGGGAATCTGACTCCCTCTTCTGGACTCCCCAGACATTGCACACACAGGTATACTTAACATGCAGGCAAGACAGTCATATACATAAAATAAAAATGTTAAAAATTCAGAAGAATGAACTTTTAGGTCACAGAAAGGATTTGAAATATTAATAAAGTTATCTTTACATTAGTGTAGTTAAAAAGAAAGGCTGATTATTTATTTATGAAAGTGTCCATGAGGGCAAAAGTACCTGAGATGAAAGCCAGAAGAAAGCCTGAGTATGTGCAGGGTTGCAGGCTCAGTGGGGATGTGTCTGTTCTGGATTTGGGGTCTTCTCTTTTCTTTGTGATCTACTTATCATTGGTGTATTCACACTGGTGTGGCTGTGGACCCTAACCTACCTACCTTCCTTCCTTCCTTCCTTCCTTCCTTCCTTCCTTCCTTCCTTCCTTCCTTCCTCCCTCGTTGTTTGGTTTTGGTCTTTTCTCGACAGGGTCTCCCTGTAGCCACACCTGGCCTGGAACTCACTATGTAGAACAGACTGGCCTTGAACTCACAGAGATCCACCTGACTCAGCCTCCCGAGTGCTGGGACTAAAGGTGTGTCCCTCACACCTGGCTTCTCTCTCTCTCTTTCAGCAGAGAAAATGTAGATTTATTAAGGAAAATTGAGAAAGAATGCCTGAGAGTGGGCGTGGCGCCAAGGGAGGAATATCCCCTAACCTATTTATATTTCTCTTCATTGATTCATTGAGGATTGGTTGATTCTAGGAACTGTGTGTATGTGAAAAGTGCTGTAGGAAGATGAATTTGACACACACATACACAGATCTACACCCACATGTACATACACAGATACACATATACATACACACGTACATACACAGACACACTCACACATATACATACACACATATACACAAGACTAAGGTCAGAGCACAGACAAGGAGCTGTGTGCCTGGGTTTTGCTTCTGTCAAAATTTTTGGCAGTATCTATTTTATCCCTGACCCACTCTATTAGGAGATATTAGAGATACTTTGCTTTAAAAATTGTTTTTATCCGCCAGGCGTGGTGGCACATGCCTTTAATCCCAGCACTTGGGAGGCAGAGGCAGGTGGATCTCTGAGTTCAAGGCCAGCCTGGTCTACATAGTGAGTTCCAGGCCAGGTGGGGCTACAGGGAGACCCTGTCTCAAAAAGACAAAAAAAAAATGTTTTTATCCATCTCCTTATAATTTAGAATGTGCCTTTTAAGAAATTATGAGGCTATCAAGATGGCTCAGCAGCAGGCAGGGGCACCAGGCTGATGGCCTGAGTTCTGTCCCTGGAACCTGCCAACTCACCCGGTGGAAGGAGAGAACTGTCTTCCACAAGCTGTCCTCTGACCTCCACAAACGAGCACACACACACACACACACACACACACACAAAGTTAAAAAAAAAAAGGCCAAAATGTTCAGAGCTTTGTGGGGTTGGAGAGATGACTCCATGGTTAAGAGCACTGGCTGCTCTTATAGAGGACCCAGGTTCGATTCCCAGAACCCACGTGGCAGCTCATAACCATCTGTAACTCCAGTTCCTGGGGATCCGAGCCCTCTCTAACGCATTGCATGTCATGGGTGTACTTCTATACATGCAGGCAATACACTCATACGCATAAAAAAAGTTTATACAATGTTATCTGATTCTGTCCCTGAAATGATTTTATATAAAATGAGGTTGGACATGGAGCCACTTGCCTGGGATCCTAGCCCTTATGAGGTGGAGGCAGGAGAGTCATGAATTTGAAGCCAGCCTGGACTACACAGCAAGACCAACCTCAAGAAGACAAAAGAGAACTGGGCTTGGTGGTTCATGTCTGAAGTCTCAGCACTTGGGAGGCTGAGGCAGGAAGATTGCTATGAATTTGAGGTTATTCTGGGCTGTAGAGTGAGACTCTGTCCCAAACAACACAACACAAAACAAAACACAATAGGAGGGGAACAAGTGCAATGAAAAGATACAAAAATAGGCCTTTTGGGGTCATAAACTCATAATCCCTAGATACTGAAGACAAAGGGTATGTTGCTTTAGAGGACAAGACTTGATAGGTAGCAAAAGGTATTTTCAGGATGCATAGACTTATTTTTCTGCTTTTGAAAAATATCTTCTGCTCACACCTTTTTTGGGGGGGGGTGTCATTTTTTTTGAGACAGGGTCTCCCTGTAGCTCTAGCTGGCCTAGAACTCCCTATGTAGACAAGGCTGGCCTTGAACTCACAGAGATCCACCTCCCTCTGCCTCCTGAGCACTGGTACTAAAGGCATGTGTCACCACATCCGTCCTGTGCATGCTTCAGGAGGCAGAGGTAGGTGAATCTCTGTGAGATCAAGGCCAGCCTACTCTCCATAGCAATTTCCAGGCCAGTTAGAGGGCTCCAGGGAGACCCTGTCTCAAAACAACAACAACAACAACAACAGAAAAAAACAAAAAAAACTAAACTTTTGTGAACCTGGTGTGGTGGTACACGCCTTTAATTCTGGGGCTTGGGAGGCACATGCAGATGAATCTCTATGAGATTGAGACCAGCCTGGTCTACATGGTGAATTACAGGCCCGCTGGGGCTACAGAGTCTCAAAAAGACACCCCCCCCAAAAAAAATATCTTCTGTACTTAAAACTCTTATTTATTATCTGCAAGGCAGCATGGTGGTTGGCCATTCCCGCGGCCTGCCTTTTGTTCTGAGTGTTTGCAGCCTGTCCCTCAAATAGTCCAAAACAAAGCAGTAAGAGATGCCTGCCTCAAAGGGCCAATTCTAACAAAAACCAGCCATTTAAAAAATAAATCAGAACATTTATGATTGTTTAGGGAACAAGTTATACACTTCACTTTACCATGCCAAATATGATACTTTTTACTGTATGTGTTCATATTTTAAAACTAAACCTTTCTAGTAAAGAAAAGCAGTTAGTAGGCACATTCTTGTGAGGTTGGACCTGCATACACAGTGGATTTCAGCTCCCATTGCTTGCTTTTCAAGTGACCTTTGTTATGCTTCCTTATTCGTGTCCTAGAACACAATTTCTAGATGGGGCCTATAGTTATTTGAGTTATTTGTAAGAAACTACTGCACTGAAAATCTGACAAAGGCATGAACTTATTTTTCATAATTGAATATTAAAATTGATTTTAGTGTGTACCTTCTTATTTGTGGATAATCTGTGTCATTATCCATAAGCATGTTCTGTTCAGTTTTGCATTTTAAAAATTCCATTTGCGGTAAGAGTGTTTTCTGGACCTGCTCGTGACATCTGATTCATGAAGCTCACTTCTTGTTTTCTAAAGCTGGCAACCACATTGGCCAAAGCTCCGTGTGGTTTGGGTCTAGCACAGTTCTTTCAGCTCCCTCAGCTTCACTTGTGATTCTGAACACATTTCTTTGTTTATGATGCCCTTCCAGGAATTCGTAAGTGTTTGGGTCCGAGATCCAAGGATTCAGAAGGAAGACTTTTGGCATTCTTATATTGACTATGAGATATGTATTCACGTAAGTATGGGGTTGCTAGAAAATAGAAAGCATAGCAAATTCTAGGAAGTGTACATTTAATGTAACTTAATGATATACCTGAAATGGGAAAAGTTCCAAAGAACTGAATTTGAATGATTACAGATAGGCTTATATCTCACTGAAGTAGTCAGGGGATTCCTGAGGCTGAAAAATTGCTTATTCAAAGCCCTTATTGCACTTCTTTAAATATATATATATATAT